CATCAGCAGCACCACCATCCACACTACCACTCCTCTAGTGTATACCTCCGCTCAGAACTCCTCCTCCCCTCCCCTCTTCTTCCTCTCCTCCCCTTCTCCCCTCAACCCCACCGGTTCCTTATCCTCTCCTGTCCTCTCCTCTGCTCCCTCCGCTGCCGCCTCCTCTGCTCCCTGCGTCTCTGCTCCATGCTCATCCGCTGCCCCTGCCGTCCCCGTGAGTTGGTCATTGCAATCAGCCCAGCCACTCTCCACCTCTCCTCCTTCCTCCACTGCTGGCAACAGGAGCAGCAACAGTAAGAATGGCAGTGGTGACGCTGACAGCAGTGGTAAAGTCGGTGTCAATAGCAGCAGTGACAGCAGTGGCAGCAGCAGCAGCAGCAGCAATGCGGCTATGGCACTTCCCCTTGCTTCTGCTTCAACCATCCCCACCACCACCAACCCTGCTTCCGTTGCTGCAACCACCCCTACAGCACCCACCCCCACCGCATCCAACCTCACAACATCGTCTGCCTCCTCTCTCTCCTCCTCCACCACTCCCACTTCCCAGTCCTCTGCCTCTTCCAGTCCTTCCCCTCCCTCTCCCTCTTCCATTCCCCCGTCCACTGTCAATTCCTCCCCAGCGCCTGCCACCTCTGGTAGCAGTGTCACCACGAGCACCACCGTTGCCTCTGCTACCACCACCACTGCCACCACCACCGCCGCCGCCGCCACCACCTCTTCTGGATTACCTGCTCTCAACAATGCAGTGGGAGCCGCAGGAACGCCAGCCACCAGCACCGGCAGCAGCAGCAACGCCAGCAGCAATGCCGCTAGCAGCAGCAGCAGTGGTAACAGCAGCAACAATGGTAACAGCAGTAGCAGTTTGCCAACAGGAGGGATTGACCCTTCAGCGTCTTCAGCTGGCGTGGCCGCTTCTGCAGCCATGAGCACCGGCTCTGTTGTCTCGTCCACGTCCGCCCTCTCGCCCACCATTGCAGCATCACCAAGTTCTGTAGCAGGATCCAACCTCACTACAGCCACTCCTGCTCCTGCCGCTACTGCTGGCAGTCCTGCTGGGGGAAGTCCCTCCAGTCTTATTCCAAGCAGCACAGGATCGTCTTTAGCTACTACTACCACCAGCACCAGTTCGACCACCTCCTCCTCATCTGTCCCATCAGCCACACCCCTTGCCTCAGCAGACACACCACATTCCGCAGCTGCCAAAGCACAGGCATCCTCAACCTCTACTGCATCCGATCCCTCTATCAGCTGTTCTGTATCAGCATCATCACCATCATCATCAGCACAATCGTCATCATCATCGTCGTCGTCGTCGGCAGCAGCAGGGGATGGGTCGGGTGCAGCGGCCATGGCTGCAGCAGGGGCAATGCAGGCTGTGGAGGCAGAGGCGGAACTGGGTGCTGCTGCTGCTGCTGGCATGGCTGAGAAGGCCATGGGAGAGCAGATGCTGGGAGAACAAATCCTGGGGGAACAATTGTTTGGAGAGCAGATGCTCGGGGAACAAGTACTAGGAGAGCAATCAGCGTCATTGGGAGAGCACCTTACCCTGGCTACTGAACAGCTGTTGGCACTAGACCCAGCCCTGTTTTCCTTTGAAGAGCTGATCCTGCCAGAGGTTGTTGCTGAGGGTATCCCACAAGTCGCTGAGAAGCTTCCGACTGTCGCTGAGAACCTTCCCAGGCTTGTTGAGGAGCTCCCAAAGGAGGTGTTTCAGGGGGTAGCTCAGGAGTCTTCGGTTGTGCTGGCAGGAGGACTGGAAGCAGAAATGGAGGCATTTTTGGAAGTGGGCGCGTCGGCTGCCGCTGCAACAGCTGCTGTTGCTGCTGAGCTTTCAGGAGCCATGGACTCGGTACTGGCGTTGGAGTCGTTGTCGCTGGTGCAGGCACTTGGTGCTGACGGTGGTGCTGTGCTTGGCTGGGCTGCAGCTGATGTCTCTGCTTCTGCTGCTGTGGTAGATGCTGGAGCGGAAGCCACGGCAGCGGCAGTGTCGGCTGCTGTGATGTCGCCGGGAGCGGCAACTGCAACGGCAGCAGCAGAAGCTGCAGCCGCAGCCGGGACAACCTCAGGACCTGCTTCGACGGCTGTGGCGCAACTGTTCCCTTTCAACGCTGGTGTCTCGCTTGTCGATACATCAATTGAAATCTGGTCGGCGCTTGATGGCTCCATGGCTGGTGTATCACAGGCTATTGCGGAAGTGATACCACTGATTTGATATGTCGTTTCGCATATATCGCCCATTTTCCCCGAGGGCAAGCTCATTATAACGATGAGCACCAATTTTGACACTAGAACGTGTAAGTGTGGGATATGGAGAATATTGTTGTGGATGTGCAGTTTGGTGTTAGGTAATTGGAGGAGCTTGTGAAAGATTGATCTAGGCTTTGATTGACATTTGTCATGGATCTGCTCCTACAGCGCTCAGGTGTAGTGCCTGATGCAAGTCGCGCGAGTGATGTAACATCTATATCGAGCTATCTGAAGTGCTGCTCGAATCGCAGGGCCCCAAATCTTTGCGAGCGGGAAGTCCGCAGCGCAGCAAGTGACGGGAGATGGATTTGACGACTTGTGCGCGGAGCCACATCATGAGCCCACACAACACAGCTGGATGCACAGTGCATGTGATCGTAGCGAAGGGAAAGTTGGAACTGGGTGTGGGAATTTACTTCCCCAAGCAGCACGTTTTTAGTCAAGCAACACCCTACGACGCCCTTCCATGAGGAGAAAGCACACTTGCCACCAAGGTTTGGGCGGGTTTCGATAGCATGGCTTGAAAACGTGCCGTCCGTAAAGGTTTTGGCGTCGGAATAGACTGTCGTTCGTGAACCTGCAGTCGTCCTCATCGGTTCCTGGTCAGGCGGAAGGTTTTCCGTCACCCCAGGTCTTCACTCCACCTGAGCCCCGCTGGTCTGCGCCCGCCTCCGCCAGTCTCTCGAGAGTGTCGCCGTCAGGTCATCACCCTCGAGATCTCCGCCACGGCAGTTCTCCCACCACAGCTCGGTTTCCCATAAAACTTTCGTCTGAAGTGTTATTTTGCGTAAAGACAGCCTGGAGAAAATACAGTATATAAAGGCTAGAGCTTGATGTTGTATGGACAGCAAAAGGCACTACAGAACTCTGAACGTGTAGTGTTCTAATATTAACAGAAATCCAACCAATATATTTGACTTTACATTCCTGCTCCTCCTCTGCCCGCATATCTTGTGCTCCCATCACCCCTCCCCGCTGCTCCACTTTGAGCACACCGTCATCAGTGATGGACTCTTTTTTTTTTTTTTTTTTTTTTTTTTTTAATGTATGTTCCCTTCACCTTCGGATGGCATGGGAGCCCAGCCTGACACAACAGAGGAAGCTGATCTCGCAGCCTAATGCAGTTAGTGTCCTCATTAGTTGCACTTAGGTTTTCGACCCAGCAGAATCTGCCTCAAATAAAAACTCCTCAGTCTCCGCGGTGTGTCGAGTTAAACTACTTCGTCCCAGTGTTTTCGTGCTTGGTTGAAACACCTAGGAACAGCATTTTCGTTCTTTCATCCACAGCCTTCTCTTACCATCATCGCTTCGGCGCCGCTAAGACACATCCTGCATAGCACGTCATGAACTTGCCAGCCTGGCAGCAATGGCCAAACGTGTCGTCACAACGACATAGCAGATTGCGAGCGCTATCGCGCTGATTCTCATTTTATCACCGCGTGCGTCTTTTTGAAGATCACTACCAGAAACGGTCGGCAGTACAGATTAGGGTAGGAGCAACTTGTCGATGGAAGCAGCTGCATTTGCTTAGGGTTTCACCCGCATCTCCGGCTACATTAGCGACGCTCACTAGGGAGTTCCGCGCCTCGTGGGGCCTCTAGCCGTCTGACGAATCGAGAATCGACGGTCCAGACGAAACGCGAACCGTTATCTGATCTGTGGTGACCCAATTCTTCCGATCGCGTTACCGGTTGGAGGCCGCATGATTCGTTATGAACGTATCCGCATGAAGCTGGGAGTTGCCCTCCTGTTACGATGAATCTGTTCCGCACCTCTTGGGGGGGAGGCGCGGCGGCGCCGCAGGAGAGCGCGCAGGACAACTCGTCTTCCGCGCCCACCGCCGCGTCCGGGTCCCCCGCTTCCGCCACCCCGCCCGCGCCTGTGGCTCGATGGGCGGAGATACAGTTCAGGTAGGGGTGAGGAGCAGCGCCCTTGGAAAGAAAGAGAGAAAATAGCACTCATGGGATGTTTTCTTATAGCGTGCGGTGGGTTCACGTAAGGGCTTGATAAGTGCTTCACTTAAGGGCTTGTTCGAGTGTAGGATGTCGTGCTCGCGGGTTCGGAATGTGGCGGAGGCAATTGGGAGAGAGATTCACTTGACGACCTTACAGTTCAGGGGCTACCGCGTCAAGCCCGGAAGGATCCCTCAAGACAACGCAACAATCATCTAGGGTACTGCCGATGGCATTATAGTCTCGGCCTGTTGCGGAGACTGGGAGGCAGGGATTATTTTTTTTGTGCCGCCGATGTGATGTAGTCGATTGCGTGGTGTGCCGGGTTGGAACCCTCAGGCGCGGCGTGCATTTGACAGTGCACGGCATGCCGCCAGTGACGTCACCGCCGTACCACCAAACGCGGAGTGCCACTGCGTAGCTTTGCAAGTCTGTGAAATGTCAAACGCGTGGCGTGCTTTGCGCGTTACGCGGCAACGTGATACGGCAAAGCACGCCGCGCGTTTGATATGTCACGTCGCTGCTGGGTGGTGGTGTTTGCGGGTGCTATTATTGTGAATGCTACTCGTGCTGCTTGTGCTATCTGTGGTACCTGTGGTATTTGTGACGTTTGTGAGTGCATTAAGCAGACTCCGTGTAGCCATCCATTGTCATCTCCCCTCCGCGCCGTAATACTTCCGTGTGACTAGTTATTAGACGACCTCGTCCGTCTGTTTGCCGTTCCCCTCCCTCCCTCCCTCCCTCCCTCCCTCCCTCCCTCCCTCCCTCGCTCCCTCGCTCCCTCCCTTGTTCTGAATTCAGGATGGTCTAGTTATTGCTGGTGTGCGCCTTGTCTTTGAATTCACTGAATGGTGTAATTCCGCGATTGCCACCTTCCCGCTCATCCGACTCCCCTTGTGTTCCGCCTTCCCCCATCTCCCTTTTCCGCATTGCCCACTGTTCGCCCCGCATCGTTGCGCCTCATCGTCCCGCCACATTGTCGTCGCGCCATACGTTCCGCCCATCGTTCCGCCCATCGTTCCGCCCATGATTGCGCCGCAGCGACGACGACAACGACGAGCGGGAGCTGCAAGTGATATGGCGCGAATACAAGGCGGCGGGCATGCAGGTATGTTCTTCATTAAAGCGCCTCAAAAATAGAATTATGAACGTGATTTGGAGGCGCCTCAGAACGAAAGTGATATGGCGCGAGTGTAAAAAGGAGGGGGGGGGGGGCATGCAGGCATAGGGAATTGCACGCGCTTGGGGTTGTGCATGAAGGGGAGAGGAGGGGGAGGAGAGCGGAAATTGGCAGGGATGAGAATCGGGGAAGGTTGAGAATATGCGGAGGACGGGAAAAGGGAAGGGACTTGGGGGGGATAGTGTTTGGGAAAAGGTGAGGGAGGAGGCTAGTCTGCTTATTCGCGACACAACACTTCCACCCGTTCTTTGAATGCAGCTTGTGTTGAGCTGCTACTTTCAAAACAAGGCCATGTAAGCCTTTTAGGTTCCACGACACCCACACACACCCCCACTCATCCCTCCTCTCCTCCCTCTCTCCCTCCTCTCCTCCCTCTCTCCCTCCTCTTCTCCCTCTCTCCCTCTTCCCTCTCTCCACACCATCTCCCCCCCTCCCTCCCTCGCCTCCTCTCCCCCCCCTTCTCGCGGGAGCAGGACTCGTTCCGGTTTCTCGGAATCTTCCTGGAGTCGTTTATCCGGATATACGAGGACTGGAAGCCAGAGCCCCCCCAGAGGGACAAGGCCAGCAGCGGCAAGGGGGGGGATGGGGGCCGGATGCGCCTGGGGTTCCGCTCTAGTGGCGGAGGGGACGCGGGTGCTGGGGCGAGGGGGACGATTGTGGGGTGCGGGCAGGGCCATCCGACGGCTGTGATTCAGCAGATGGTGTTTGAGATCAAGAACACCATTCCAGCCATCCTGGGTGCGTTTCGCCTGTGTATGGTGATATGATTGGATTTGAGCGTGTGCGGTGATTTGATTTGGGTGTGTGCGGTGATTTGATTTGGGTGTGTGCGGTGATTTGATTCGGGTGTGTGGGCGGGCGTGTGTGGTGATTTGATTCGGGCGTGTGTGGTGTTTCGATTCGGGCGTGTGTGACTATGCATTTTATGGTCCTCCCTCTCACGCCCAACCCTGCCATGTGCGCAGCCTAAAACGCCATTCTCGATGTTTTGTTCGCCTCAAAAGTCCCCAGTCAACTACCTTTGTGTGCCCCCATTCCCACCTATTATAAAAAATAGAGCCAGGGACCGGGCCTTTATGCTCAACCTGCTGTGCGCACTCACCATTTGCTATTGTGTGCACTCACTCTCCCCCTCTGCCGGTCGCGCTACCTCAGCTGCATGCTAGAAATAGAGTCAGAGGGCCTGACGGACCAAGCCTAGTGCTAACCCTGTTGTGTGCGCTGCTGTGTGCGCTCCTAAGCCCCACACTTACTCTCCCCCTCTCGCTTTCCCCAGAGATGGAGTCAGAGGACCTGTCGGACCGGGCCTTTGTGCTCAACTTGCTGTGTGCTCTCACCATCTAATAGTCTCATGAGTCCACTCCTAAGCCCCGCACTCACTCTCCCCCTCTGCCCGTCGTCCCATCCCCACCTATCCCCAGAGATTGAATCAGAGGACCTATCGGACCGGGCGTTTGTGCTCAACCTGCTGTGTGCGCTCACCGTGTGCACTCACTCTCCCCCTCTGCCTGTCACCCCATCCCCACCTATCCCCAGAGATGGAATCAGAGGACCTGTCGGACCGGGCCTTTGTGCTCAACCTGCTGTGTGCGCTCACAATTGCTCTGCGCTCCGCACACAACCGCCGCGTCTTTGCCTTCTATGATGGATACGCCGCACTCACCATTTTATTTAAAGGTGCATGCTTATTATCAGCCTTAACAGCACCGGTGCCGCATCTTTGCCGGTGGCCAGTCGTCATGATTCGATGCTGTTTGATTTGATGTGCGCGCTGCAGTCATCATGCTCCTTATAGATACACCGAGCAAGCATCCACTCCCCTGTCTCTTCAACCTTTCCCCACTCACTTCGCCCACTCTTTGCTCCTTCCTCCCGCCCCCCACCATCCTCCCCTCCCGCTCTCCCCTCCCTGTGCGGTTTCCGAGATTTCTCGCTCTTTCCTTCCTGCCGTCGTGTATCCCTCCTCCCTTCCTCCTCCTCTCACCTTGCTCTGGCCGCCTTTCCCCCGTGCCCCTGTCCCCCATGCCACCGTGCATGCTCCTGACCCCCCTCACCCTCCTGCCCCTGATACTTCCTAACCCATGCCCCCTGTACAGACGTAGTTGCTCAGTTCAAATCGGTGCAAGGCATGGCAACAGCAGGCAGGCAACGCCACTCCCGCCCCACCTCCCCCGACACCTCCTCCCCCCCTTCCCCCGACGCCTCTGCCTCGGACCCGCTCCTCTCCCCTATCCACCCCCCCTCCGCCTCCTCTTCCCGCCAATCCCCCCCCTGGGGGGGAGCCGGCTCAGGGATTTCCGACCCGCATGAGACAAGCCATGCCGGCCACACGCGGGTCAGGGGGAGCGGCAGCGGGGGGGGAGGGGATGGAGGGGGAGGGTCGAGTAATCAGGAGTTGCTGATGCAGCTGCGGCGGCAGCAGCGGTTTCTGCAAAGCGTGGTGGTGCATCTGCTGCCGTGTCTGGTTGGGATTTTCCACACAGAGCTCACTCGTGTGGTGGCCTCTGCCAAGAGAAAAGCAGCAGCGGCGGCAGCAGCAGCAGCAGCGGCGGCGGCAGCAGCTAGTTCAGCAGAACAGTCGAACCTCTTTGCGCCGAATCTGTTTGCGGCGATTGGGGGGGGGATTGGGGGGGGGATGGGGGGAGGGATGGGGAGCGCGGGAGGGAGAGGGGGAGGAAGTGGGGGCAGTGGAGGGGCGGATGGGAGTGGGGATGTGGAGGAGGGGAGTGCACGGATGAGTCAAGTGTTGGTGGAACTTCATGGCATAGACTCGTTGCTCGGTACGTGCCTCTTGCGCTATCTGAGTCGATTCTGAGAATTCCCAAAATTGAAGTGCGCGGATGAGTCAAGTGTTGGTGGATCTTCACGGGATAGACTGCTCGCTTGCTTGCTTCACGGTATGTGCTGCTTGCTCCTCCTTGCCCTTCCCCCCCATACACACTCTGTCCCTCCCTAATGCAAAGAAACCAGATTCTCGTAAAGACTTGTCGTTTGTTTCCACGTTGACTCACCACGCACCACCTCATAGATCCCCACTTTCCCTCCTCCCACCCGACCATCATCCTCCCCCCCTCCCCACCTTCCCCCTCTACACACGTTATTCCCTCATTCCTCACCATAGCTGCTGCGCTTATTCCGCATGGGGCAAGGAAGACAACCGTACGAGCCACGTGTCGTATTCCCTTGCAAGCCACAAGGTGATTTCTGAGTCGACTCACAACTCTCTCTTTCTCTGCTTTCTTTTCCCCTCTCCCTCCCTGCCTTCCCCTCCACGCCCCTGTTTCCCCCAGTGCTGCTGCACATGCTCCGCATGGAGCAGGTCCAGGACAGGGGAAACCACGCAGCGCGTCTTGTTCCATTGTAACAAGGTGACTTCTGAGTCGACTCAAACCTCTCTTTCCCCCCTCTCCCGCGCGCCCTTTCCCACCCTCCCCCCCCCCTCGCCCCCCTTCCCCCGGGGCCCCATTCCACGCCCTCCCCTCTCCCCCAGAGCTGCTGCACATCTTCCGTGTGGAGCAGGACAAAGGCAGCAGGGCAGCATGTTGTGTTCTCATCTTAGTTGATTCAAACTCGCTTCCCCCCCTCCCCCCCCTTCCGCCCCCCGTTCCACGCCTCCTCTCTCCCAGAGCTGCTGCACATACTCCGTGTGGAGCAGGACAGGGGCAACCGGGCAGCGTCCCCCCTGCTGCTGCTCTCGCTGCAGCTGCTGCGCCTGGCGTCCGCTCTCAGCCGCTCTGCTCACCGCACGCTCTGCAACTGCGGCAGTCTCTCCCTGCTTGTGCAGCTGCTGGGGAGGCCTCCTTCCTCCAGGTGAGATTTGGGTTGAGGGAACATTGGAAACGTAGAGGCTCAGCCGCTCTGCTCACCGCACGCCCTGTGAGTGCAGCAGTCTCTCCCTGCTTGTGCAGCTGCTGGGGAGGCCTCCTTCCTCCAGGTGAGATTTGGGTTGAGGGAACATTGGAAACGTAGAGGCTCAGCCGCTCTGCTCACCGCACGCCCTGTGAGTGCAGCAGTCTCTCCCTGCTTGTGCAGCTGCTGGGGAGGCCTCCTTCCTCCAGGTGAGATTTGGGTTGAGGGAACATTGTAAACGCAGAGGCTCAGCCGCTCTGCTCACCGCACGCCCTGCGGCAGCCTCTCCCTGCTTGTGCAGCTGCTGGGGAGACCCCCTTCCTCCAGGTGAGCTTGGCAGCTGCTGACTTCTATTCATGTATGAAGGTTCTAGGTGCTGCTGGGGAGGTTGCCTCCTTCCAGGTGAGATTCTTGGCTGCTGGGGAGAGACTTATCGCCACCAGGAGAGTGAGCATTGCAGCTGCTGGGGAAATGCCGGTCATTGCCAGGTGAGAGTTGGTTGTAGCCTTGTACCTGTTGAGGGTAGATAGATCGCTCCCCTCTTCCAGGTGAGACTTTGTTTGTACCTGCTGGTCTCCTTGCAAGAAAGACCGTGAGGGATTAATGTGCTGCTGCTGGGGAGCCTTCCTTCCCCCTCCTTGAGATGAGCTTGGGGTGAGAAACCTCTGAAAACGCAGAGGCTCACCTCAACCCACCCGCGTCCCCCCTCCCGTTTCCAGGCTCCTTTCTCACGTCCGCAGCCCGCCTCTCATTTTTGTTTCCACTGTCCCTACCTGTCCTTCCTCCCTCATTCCCACCATCAACCGCCCTCACTCCCCCTGCCATGTCCGTGCGGTACTGCTGGGTGCAGTGCAGTATCCCCGAGGGCGATCAGCTCGGATTAGAGGAGCACTAGAAGTGCTCCTCTTCGTTCTTACCTCCACCTGTCCTCCCCCCTCCCTCCCCGCCTCTGTCCCTGTGACTGTGCGTGTGCTGCTGGGTGCAGTATCCCCGAGGGCAATCAGCTGGCTTTGGAGGAGCACCTAGGGGTGCAGCTGCTGGCGCTGGTGGTGATCCGAGAAGCATGGTGAGATGAGATGGATGTGCACCGTGCACGGAATGCATGCCTGCCCTCACATGCAAATGTATGCGTGTGTGTGTGGCGAGATGCACACTTGTGTGCAGGATACTACCATTTCTCTATTCCGCACCCCGTCTCATTGAATTCACATCCACTACATCATGCATGGGCTATCCTTCCCATCCTCATCCCACTTGCACCCACTCTACTTTTCTTCTTCCTGACCCTCCCATCTCCTCCCCATCCCTCCCCTCCCCTCCCCTCCCCTCCCTCCCCTCCCCTCCCACCCCCTTCCCCTCCCCGCTCCTCCCCCTCCCCCCACGCGCCCCTCCCCCCACCAGCTACGCGTCCCCCACGTGTCTCGTGCGTCTGCACTCCCTATCGCTCTTCCCCCGCGTCTCCCGCCTGCTGCAGTGGGCTGCTCGCACCTTCTCCGCGCCCCCTGTCCCCTCCTCCTCGGAAAGCTCCCTCATGCCTCCGCCCCCTCTCCCCGCCTCCTCCTTCCTCTGCACCTCCGATTCCATTCTCACGATTGATGTGCGAAGGGTGGGGTCTTTGAGACTGGCGAGGAAGAGGGGGAGAGCAGGGGCCGGGGGTGGGGGAGGAGGAGGCGGAGGAGGAGGATACGGGGGGGATTGGGGCGGGGACGGTGACGGGCTCGACGGGGAGGAGGAGGATGAGGGGGAGGGGGAGATGGTGTGGGGGGAGGAGCAAAAGTGGATGATTGCACGGGCGCTGGGGCAGGAGCTGATCAGGGAAGTGAGGGTGCTGCGCTCTCGGCCGTCTGTGGGGGATTCGGAGGTGTGGGCATGGAATCTCGCGGTTTCGGCCGCTAGTGGGCTACTGTGCACGCTGCTTCTAGAAGGGGATACAACAGAGGAACAGATTGCCGAGTGGGGGGGTGTGAGCCTGTGGGGGAAATACGGACGGTGGGCCAGGGAGGCTGCGGATGGGGTAGGGATGGGCGGGGATGGGGAGAGCGGAGACAGGGGAAGGGGAGACGCGGAAGGGGGGGAGGCCGGAGGAGGAGGGGGAGCGGGGGAAGGAGGAGCAGGAGCAGGAGGGGGAGGAGGAGGAGCGGGGGATAGGGACGGCATGGGGAACGAACCAGGAACGGCGAGAGGAGGAGGAGGAGGAGGAGGAGGAGGAGGAGGAGGAGGAGGAGGAGGAGGAGGAGGAGGAGGAGGAGGAGGAGGAGGAGGAGGAGGAGGAGGAGGAGGAGGAGGAGGAGGAGGAGGAGGGCAGTCAGTGGGAGATTACTGGAGCATGGGGCAGCGATACGCTGTAGAAACCCTCCTAGACACATTCCGGTTACCACACGAGGGGAAGTCAGGGCCGGGAGGGGGAGCAGGCGAGATGATGAGCATGGACGACCTAGCACTGCAGGACTACTTCCGAAACACGTCCTGTACGCTCCAGTGTCACGTGCTGTCGATTCTCCGGAGGGTTCTGGGAGAGTCGCCGTCTGCACTGCAGTTGCTGCGAGATGCTGGTGCCTGGCCGACGCTCTTCTCTGACCGGTTCTTTTTCTTTGACTCCACCACTGTTGCGGATTGTGCCCCGTCGACTCACGGTGGTGGGGCGTTTGGAGGGTTTGCGCACCCTTTTTCTTGGCGCGGGGCGGCTGGGAACGGGGAAGGGGGTGCAGGGGACGGGAAGGGGAAGCATGTGCGGCGGAGGTCGACTGGAGGGGGGCTGGTGTTAGGGTTTGGGTTGGAGGGCGGAGGAGCAGCAGCAGGAGCAGGAGCAGGAGGAGCAGGAGGAGCAAGGGGAGCAGGGGGGGCAGGGGGAGCAGGAGGGGCAGCAGGGGCAGGAGGAGCAGGAAAGGCAGACGGGGGGTTGGTAGTCCCGGCTCGCCCCAGACCTCGTCTGTTCAAATCCCCCAGCACATCCAGCTCTTCCTCTCTCGAGACCGCAGCAGCCGCAGCCATTGCTGCTTATGACACCAGCACTGGCGGCAGCAGCGGCGGCGGCGCCAGCAGCGCTGCTTCCAGATCCGCAGGAGCAGCCGCCGCAGCCGCTGCTATCGCTGCTGCCTCCGCCGCAGCCGCCGCAGCCTCTGGTGGTGCTGCTGCTGCTCCTGCAGCTGCGGGCGATCGCCGGCCGCGCATGCGCAAGTCCCCAAGCACTTCCAGCAGTTACGAGGCGAGCAAGTTTGAGGAGTTCACAGGAGGAGCCATGGCAGCAGCAGGCGGTGTGGGTACCGTAGCCGCACGGGCCCTTCGACGCCTCGCCTCCCCGAACCTTCCCCCTTCCTCAGGCACCAAATCCTCCTCCCGGCCTAACTCTCCGTCTATCTTTGCAGTTGATCCTCATGGTGTGGCCGCTGCGAATGTGGCTGGTAGCAGAATGCTGTCCCCTCTCTTTCACCCGTTTGGGTTGGATGTGAGGGGGGGGGGGGAGGGAGGCTTGGGCGGAGGGGGAGGGGGAGGGGGAGCGGACGGAGCGCTTGAGTATGTGGCAGTGGGGGAGAGTACGGATGCCGAGACGCTGCGGATGAATGTGGTGGCTTTCCTGGAAGTTGCTGCGTCGCTTGATGGGTTGGCAAATATGGAGGTGAGTGGTTTGCCTGTTCCCGGTGGGTTTGGATAACCTTCGAGACCTTCCTTCCTCCTGATTTTGGTTGATCTTTAATTACTGGCTGGGTTTTCAGATGCCCGAACCTCAGGTTTCCCTGTGCCTCTATCTCCTCACTACGCCACCATTCCCTCTGTTCCTTTTATCCGTCCCTCTCTGGATCGTTGCCTGATTTGATCACTGCAGCCGGAGTGTGCGGCGCTGCTGACAGCACTGAGGCAAGCTGCCATATGCGCCTCGGCGTGTGTCATGCTCGCGCGCTGCTTCCAGCGCCTGCAGCAGATCGTGGGAGATCTCTTTGTTGAAGCGATCATAGCCGTCGATGCGCTCGCCACCATCGCTGCGATCATGACACGTCAGCAGCAGTACCGCCCCGCTGCTGCTGCTGCTGCCGCTGCTCCTGCCGCCTCCCTCCCGTTCTCGTTCGCCCCCATGGGAAGTGCTGCTGGTGCTGGTGGTGGCGGCGGTGGTGGTGGGGCTGTCTCATCATCTGGAAGTAGCGGTGGTGGTGGGGGTTCGCATCATCATCATCATCATCAGCACCACCACCTTCCCCGCCCCACGTCCCCTCTTCTCGGATCTCACTCTTCGGAAGGAAGGATTACGGGTGGAGGAGGCGGAACGACAAGTGCTGCTGGTGGCACTGCTGCTGCTGGTGCAGCTGGTGGTGGTGGTAGTCAAGGGGGAGGTGGGTTTGGAGCGAGTGGGTCTGGAGGAGGAGGAGGAGGAGGAGGAGGCTCGCTTCTCCCCCTCCCCCCATCCAGACGCAGCTCTTCCTCGTCTGCACTGCCGCTCCCGCCCTCCATGCCGCAAGCTTCAGGGGACGCAGCAGGAGGGGCAGGCAGCGAGGGGGGCACTGGGGCTGCTGGCTCTTCTGCTGCTTCTTCTGGTGGGTTGGGTGCTGGTTCCGGTTCCGGTCTCAGTGCTGGTACTGGGAGCAGCATGCAGAGATTCGGAGGCGGCGGAGGAGGCAGAGGCGGGGCGGTTGAGCGAAGCAGCAGCGCCAATGCTGCGGACAGAAGCCGGCCAGGCGACGCCAACACCGACCTCACCAGCAGCAGCAGCAGCGGCGCCATCAGCAGCAGCAGCAACACCGGCGGCGGCGGCGGCGGCAGCAGCAGCAAGGCGCCGAGTGAGGTGCCGTGGAATGTGCGCATGGCGATATTCACTCTGCTGGAGGCGCTGTTAGGATCGTCCACCACGGTGGTGCGAGCAGCGTCACGCAGCGCTGCTCTGGCAGACACAGTGTTCAAGCTCGTGGTGGAGCAGAAGACACGCTCCATGGCCCTGCGCCTTGTCATCTCGCTCATCAAGGTGCGTGCGGTGTGTGCATGTGTGCGTGTTTGTGGCTCGTTGTTGGTCGTGTCGAGCCGGCAGGGACAAGGCGCTGCTCTAGCGAACAGGGTGTTCAGATCAAGCTGGTGGTGGAGCACAAGACACGCTCCATGGCGCTGCGTCTCGTAATTTCGCTCATCAAGGTGCGTGTGTGTTTTTGTGCGCGCGCGTGTGTGTGTATGCGTTTTGTTTTTGTTTGTGCATGTGTGCGTGTGTGTTTGTGTTTGTGTTTTTGTGTGTGTGTGTGTGTGTGTGTGTGTGTGTGTGTGTGTGTGTGTGTGTGTGTGTGTGTGTGTGTGTGTGTGTGTGTGTGAGTGCGCGCACACGCGCGCGCGTGGTCTTTGCTTTGTTGGTCGATTCAACAACTCCCATGTCTCCCCAATCGCCCCCCTCTTTCCCCCTCCCCTCTCCTCCCCATCGCAGGTATCGGAGGCGGATGCAGCGGGGGAGGGAACGGTGTTTGTATCGCGGCTGATGGAGGCCTTTGCGCATGCCAAGGGCGACAGCCACACGCACGGGGTCGCTGTTCTCGCTGACCTCCTCACTGCCCTCCGCCACATTGTCGACTTCGACCCTCCTGTAAGCCCACCGAGCGTTTTTGTGCTTGCCTCTTGCTCTCTGCTCTGCTCTCTTCTCTGCTCTCTGCTCCGTGATAAGAGGTTTGACTTGAGTCGCTGTGATAGCTGACCTCCTTACTGCCCTCCGCCACATCGTCGACTTCGACCCTCCTGTGAGCCCACCCACCCACCCACCTCTGTGCTTGCTTCCTGCTCTCTCATCCTCCGTCTCTCGGCTCCTCCTGCTATGCTCCGTCGTCATGGGTTTGCTCTGAGACGTTTTAGAACACTCCTCACTGCTCAAACCCCCCTCCTTCCTTCAGCGCTTCCAAGAGTTGTTTCTGGACGCGCAGTGCGGGCTGCATCTCCTCTCGCTCCTCAACGGCACCTACCAGCCAGCAGACGGGCAGCCGCTCGCCCTGCAAGTACTCCGCACGCTCACGCGCCTGCTCGCAGGCAACGACACAGCCAAAGCCGTCATGTGGCGGCTTTTCAGTTGTCCCAATGCTCCCTTCCCGCCCTCCCCTTCTCCCCTCTTCCCCCTTTCCCTCCTCCCCCGTCTCCCCTCTCCCGTCCCCCTCCTTTCCCCCCGTCTCCCCTTCCCAGCGCTTCCAAGAGTTGTTTCTGGACGCGCAGTGCGGGCTGCATCTCCTCTCCCTTCTCAACGGCACCTACCAGCCAGCAGACGGGCAGCAGCTCGCCCTGCAAGTCCTGCGCACGCTCACCCGCCTGCTCGCGGGCAACGACACAGCCAAAGCCGTCATGCGGCGGCTTGGAGACCCGGGGTATGCGCGGCTGTCCCAGATGCTGCTGGAGCAGTACCGGGGGCGGCCCACGGGGCAGCTGCTGCTGTGCGTCATGGACTTTGTTGTGGATGGGAGCTTTGCCCCCCGGACCAACATGCTCATACAGGTGAGAAACGACGGAGGGAGGGGACAGGGAAGTGGGGATTTGCTACTGTCTGTGCGTGAGGGATCCCGTTTTGCTCCTCTTTCCACCCATATTCCTTTTCACATCCGGTCCATGACGAGGATGCAGTGGTGAACTTGATTTATCTCGAAGCACCTGCCCTCCACTCTCCCTCTCCCCTCCCTGTCCCGCCCATGTCACCCCGTCCCGTTCCCCCTGCTCCCCTCCCACCCTGTCAGAACGAGGACGCAGTGGTGCTCTTCATCTCTCTCCTCCGCAAGGCAGACGGCCACCTGGTGGGCGAGGGCCTCGAAACCCTAGAAGGCCTGGTCTCCTCCTCCTCTGCCAACTGCACCTCCTGCGTGCACGCGGGCCTCATGTGGCTGCTTCCCCTTCAGAACGTGGACGCATGTGGCTGCCAACTGCGTCTTCTGCGTGCGAGTGGGCCTCATGTGGTGCTCTTGATTCGTTTGATCCTCCCTCCTCTTCCCCACGCCCCTCCGATCCTCCTCCCGTCTCCCCCATCCCCCTCTTCCCCACTTCCGTGCTTCCCCTACCCCCTCCCCCGCCACGCTCTCCTTCCTCCACTCTCATGGTCAGAACGAGGACGCAGTGGTGCTCTTCATCTCTCTCCTCCGCAAGGCAGACGGGCACCTCGTGGGCGAGGGCCTAGAAACCCTGGAAGGCCTGGTCGCCTCCTCGACAGCCAACTGCGCCTCCTGCGTGCGGGCCGGCCTAATGTGGCTGCTCCTAAACTGGATGCCGGAAGTCCAAGACGACAACACCCTCGCTCAAATCGGCCGGTTGTTAGAGGCAGTCGGAGGGCACAGCATCGGAGGGAAGGATATGAGCGCGATCTTTTCTCTGCTGAGAAGCACCAAGGATGGGTGCCGGCCGCGGCACGCCACGCTGCTGATTCGCACGCTGCAGGCGTTGGTGAAGGACGACGGGCCGCCTGTTTTTTTCGAGCTCAATGGGAAGAACTCGGGGATTGACGCGGCCGCGCGGCCGTTCCGGTTTCCGACGGCGAGAGGGTATACGTTCTGCTGCTGGCTGCGAGTTGAGGCGTTTCCGGCGACTGTTGTTTCGAGCACGAGCGGGGATGCGGGGAAAGGGGGGAAGCCTGGAGGGGGAGCAGGGGGTGGGGGAGTGGGGGGAGGTGGTGTTGGAGAGGGGGCAGGAGGGACGGTGGTGGATGGGCCGTATGATGGGGCGATGGGGCTGTTCCGGTTTATGACTGAGTTCAAGAGGGGGTGCAGTGCACTCATCAGCCCAAGCAGTCTTATTGTGCAGGTGAGGGGAAAGGGGGAAGGGGGAAGGGGGAAGAAGGAATGGGGGAATGGTGGAGGGGCAAGGGGTGAGGGAGGGAGAGGGTGAGATGGTGAAAGGGTGAGGTGGGGAAGTCAGACTCTATTAGGGTGAGGCGGGTTCGCCTTGATCTATTAGGTTGATGATCTATTATCATCCATGCCAAGCACTGGTACCGCATCGCCATCTCACACTGTGTCGCCTGTCCTGTCCCTCAGGCACTGGGGGCAGGGAGCCAGAGTTCATATTCAACTACCCGTTCCATGCCAAGCGCTGGTACCACATCGCGATCTCACACCCCACCCTATCCCCCACCCCCGTACCTTTGCCTGCCTCCTCCCACCCCCCTGCCACTCGTTCCCACTCGTTTCCATCACGTAGGTGCCGGTAGGCAGTGGGGGCAGGGAACCAGAGTTCATATTCAACTACCCCTTCCATGCCAAGCGCTGGTACCACATCGCCATCTCACACTCCGTTGCTACCTTTGCCACTGCCGCCACGCTGCGCCTCTTTGTGGACGGCAAACTCATCGAGACAGGGCGCATGGGGTAAGGGGGAGAGAAGGGGTAAGTCAGGGAGAGGGACAAACTGCGCTGCATGCTGTGCGTGTTTGGAGCTTGTGTGGTGCTTGCATGGTGTTGACACCTCATCTCACCTCACCAGTCAATCACTGCCTTTCCTGGCTGCCGTGCTGTGCCTCTTTCTTGGACGGCAAGCTCATCGAGACCGGCAGCATGTTGTGAGGGGAGTGCGAGCAAGAGGGAAGGAGATATGTACAAAGTGCGTTGCTCGCTGCTTGTGTGGTGCTTGCATGGTGTTTGCACCTCACCTCACCTCACCTCACCTCACCTCACCTCACCTCACCTCACCTCACCTCACCACTCCTCACCACCTTGCCACCACTGCCATACTGTGCCCCATTGTGGACAGCATGCTCACTGAGACCGGCCACTTGGAGTGAGAGAGAGGGAGAGAGGCTTCTTGCCTCGCATCGTATGCAGTCTGCATGGGATATGCACAGGGTTTGCATGGTGATGGCATGGTGCTTGCATCTCACATAATCTCTTTTCATCTCATCTCTTTTCTCCTTCCTTTCCAATCCTGCAACCTAAGAAGCAACTCAATCAGCCCATCCCTTCCTCACCCCTCCCCACCCCCCCCAACCCTTCCCCTCTCCTCTCCACCCCACTCCCCCTCAGACCGTCCATCCATCCATCCATCCATCCATCCATCCATGCAGCTACCCCAAGATCTACGACCCACTAGTAGAATGCACTATAGCCGCCGCCGTGGAGTCCAAACCTCCCCATCCCACCCCCTTAATCCACCTCGTCCTCCCTCCCCTCCCCTGCACGCCCACCCATCCGCCCATGCAGCTACCCCAAGATCTACGACCCGCTGGTAGAATGCACTATAGCCGCCGCCGTGCCTTTACCAGAAGACCCCGTTCTCGCCCTCCGCATGCCCACGCACGCGCCCCCTCCCCCCCGCCGCTCCGCTGCTTTCCGGGGCCAGATCGGTCCGATATACCTCTTTGAGGACGCGCTAGTGTCCTCTCAGGTGGAGGGTATCTACCTCCTGGGTCCTGGGTACATGTATTCGTTTCTGCCCGGGGAATCCGGGCTGCCCAAGGAGGGCCCTGCGGCGCAGATTCTGTCGGATTCCAAGGATGGGCTGTCTGCTAAGATCGTTGCGAGCTTCAATGCGCAGGTGAGTGTTGAGATGGGTGATGTGAGAGAGGTGAGTCATAGCGTGGCTTGTTGTGGACCAGCCCGCCTTGCAGTGAGGGATGTGGGTATGTGGAGGGTGTGTGTTTGTGGGTGCGTCTGTTTGTGCCCTCATGCCAACCCGCACTCACCCATCCCTAAATTCTCCCTCAGTCTCTCTCATATGGCGCGCTCCTTCCCCACCCTCCCTCCCCCAGGCTGGTCAGGGCCACACCACATTCAACTCGACGCGCCGTCCGACATCTCAAAACTCAACCAACCCCATCGCCCACCTGCCCCTCTTCTCCCCACTCCACCCTCTTCCCCTCCCCCAGGCAAGCCAGGGCCGCACCATATTCAACACAGCGCCCATCCTCGACGCGCCGTCCGACGCGCCGCTCTGTGACACGGCAGCCATCATGCCAGGCGTGCAGCTGTGCTCGCGGCAGCGGGTGCAGGACGTGATCAACTGTGTGGGAGGCATCGCAGTCCTCTTCCCTCTCTTCACCCAGCTGGATCAACCTGTGGAAGGCCAGCACCAGCCGCAGCGCTCCTCCCGCTTCAAAGACGAGCCTCCCGCGGGCGTCGACCCGCATCTAGCCCTCGACGTGATCGGGTTACTCACGGCGGTGCTCGCCGGGAATCGCACGAGCCAGCAGTATATGCTCTCCGCACACGGGTTCGGAGTAATTAACTTTCTGCTGCAGCGCGTGTCTCCCCAGCACCTCTCTGTGAAATTCGTTCTTGCAATGGAGAATCTCGTCGGCTGTATCTCCCATGAGCGCGGCACGGATCAGGGCCTTGCTGAGATCCTGACCGTCGATGCCATCTGCCGGCTGTATCTCGATCCGATGGTCTGGATTTACACCTCATACGCAGTCCAACACGAGCTCTACACATCGCTGCTGCGACTGCTAGAGAAAGAAGGAGAGCCGGCGCGTCTCCGCACCTTCTGCACCCTCCAACGGCTCCTCGACATGGTCAGGCAGTTCTACTGGGAGAAGGCGCAGGGCCCCCACGCCATCGGCACGCGTCCCCTCGTGCACCCCGTCACCCGCTCCGTCATCGCCGTTCGGCCCAGCTCGGCAGAAATCGCCAAGCTTCGCTTGCTCGTGCTGGGGCTCGCGGACCGAGTCATCCGCGACGGACTCTCCCTGCCAGAAGTAAAAGCCGTGGTGGCGTATCTGGAAACGAGCAAGGATATAGTAGCGATGGAGGATGTGTTACACTGCATGCTGGGTCTCCTCGGCCGCACCCCCTGCCTCTCCTCCGTCCTCTCCCACGTGCATTCCATCGGAGGCTGCCACATCTTCCTCTCCCTCATGACCCGCTCTCTCGAAGGCGTGCGGCTCCTGGGTCTACGTCTCCTCGGCACTATCTTCAGTGCCACGCCTACGGATCGGCGGTCGGGAGCGGACGCATACGCATGGGCGTCGAGCACGGGGAGGGAGGCGTTTGAGAGTGCGGGAGGGGGGGAACCGGCGGCCATGGAGGAGTCGTATGCACGCACGCTGTGGACGCATGTCGAGTCGTCGCTCTCTGCGTTTCCCTTCTCGCCGGCTACCCGGGCTGCGCTGTTTGACGTGCTGTTGGGGGGAGCGAGCTCCAAAGAGGTTAGTAGCACCCAGCCAGCTCCTACGTGTGCCCCCTCCTTGTTTCCTCCTCTGCCCTCCACCTTTTGATCCTCTCCTTCTCTGCTCCTCCTCTCCTCCCCTGCTCAGATGCATTCCCTTTCTTTTTCCTCTCCTGTTTCCATTTTGTACAAGTCTCGGCGTCTTTGCCCTGCTCTTTTTCACACTCCCGAAAAAAAAAACCTCCTTTCCCCCCCTCCTCCACCAGGCCATGCGCAAGTGGTCGAACCTCTACAAGAGCGGGCTAGGTCGCTTCCAGGAAGGCCTGCGGGACTCGGCAGGAACAGCAGTCCTAGAAGCCGGGGGGAGCAGCAGCGGTGTCGTAGCCATCATGGTCGTCCCCCAGGTCTTACGAGTGGTCCTGCGCTTACTCCGCGCCTGCACTCCTGATCTCCGCACCGCCGTGCTCCGGGACTTGCTTGTTTTGCTCGATTCGGATGATTCGAACATGAGCGTGTTTCTGCAGCAGGTGGGGTGGCAGGATTGGCTGCTAATGGTGCTGCTCGCAGTGACCAGCGGGCAGCGGGACGGGATGGGAATGGGTGGAGAAGGGGACGAGTCCGGGGTGATCCTAGAGGAGGACTTGGATTTGGATGAGTATGAGGCGGGGATGTTGGATGAGGAGGAGGAGATGGAGGGGGAGAGTGAGGAGGAGCAGCTGATCTGGCAGCTGTTTGCATGCCTACATGCGCATGCGCTTATTCATTTCAAGAATGGCGCACAGCACGTCACCACCACCATCACCTACATCCAGCTGCTGTGCCCTGATCAGGTACGATGAATCCCTGAGGCGCATTTCTGGAAGTGAACAAATCCGTTAGTGACACCATCTGCTCTCTTCTCCTTGCTCTCGTGCATGTTGCTGCTCGCTCCTGCTCCTATCCAGTCTCGTGCTATCCCCACTCCTCTCTTCCTCCTCTTCCCCTCATCTTTTCCTCCCCTCTCCCCTTTTTCATCCTCCTCTCCTTGTTCTCTCTTCCACTTCCTCTCCCTCCTCTCTCTCGTCTCACTCCTCCCGTCTCCCTGCTCTCGTCTTACTCCACCTCTCCTGTCCTCTCCCCATCTCCTCTCCTCTCCCCCGCCCTTCTCCCCCTCTTCTCTTTATCGCCCCTCTCCCCCTCCCTCCTCCCTTCCCTAGCAGGCATCGGTGTGGACGAAGCGGGTGTTAGCAGGCGTGTTTGAGGCACTCAGTGTGCTCTGCCCTTCAGAGGACACCATGAACGCTGTCTCTCTCCTCACTTGCTCCTCTTCCTCCCTGTCTTCCGTCCCCTCCCCATCTCCTCTGCTCTCCCACTTTCCTCTCCCTTCCCTTCCCCCTGCAGGCGTCGGTGTGGACGAAGCGGGTGTTAGCAGACGTGTTTGAGGCGCTCTGTGTGCTCTGCCCCTCGGAAGACACCATGAACGCTGTTCCCCTCCGCGACAATTTCTCCCTCCTCCTCACTCTTCTCGATGACTGCACTGTTGACGACTCCCGCCAACTCTTCCAGGTGCTGTGTGGTGCAGTGCGGTGCGAATTGGCGGGCTTGGGCTGCTGCTGGGTGGTGTGCGGAGTTGCTGGGTTGGGTGCAGTGAGGATGGGTCCATCACCCAACCTTCCCCCCCTCCTCCCCTCCCCTCCCCTCCGCTCCTCCCCCTGACCCCTCTGCCCTTCCCGACCTCTTTCCACTTTCACGAACCCCCTCGCCTCTGAATTTTCTGTTTGCTAACACCCCTCGCTTTCCTCTCCAACCATTTCCCTTCTTCCTCTCACCCTCCCTCCCGCCCCTCGTTCGCCTTTCACTCATCTCCATGTGTGCATGCTTGCATGGGTGCCACACTTGCTGCATGTCTTGTCCTGTCGTGTCTTATCGCATCCTATCGTCTCTCAATATGCACCATCTCAAACAGGACGAGTTGATGGAGGAGGAGACATTGTCAGGGGGCTATGTGGACCTCGGATCCTCCCAACCGCTCAGGTAACCCTCTTAACCGCTCAGGTGACCCTCCCCTAATCTCTCAGGTGACACCTATCCTGGGTTCGCATTCCCTCTCTACCATCTCCCTCCATCTAGTGCTGTGTCTCTCCATCTCTTTCTTCCCAGTCCTGTGTCATGTCCTCCCGTCTGTCTTCTCTGCCCCACTATCTCAACCTTCCTCCCACCCTCATCTCCATTCCTTCCCCTTCTCGATCTCACCCCCCGCCTACTGGTGCACACCCCTCATTCCGTTGCTCTGGTATTTAGCAACCACATCACATCAGCAGAGCTACCACCGCCACCCCTTACCTTACCCCGCCTCTGCCCCCCTCTTTCCCCTTTCTTCCCCCTACTTCCCCTTCCCTGACCCCCTTCTCCCCCCATCGTCCCCTCCCCCAGGAGCACCTTTCCTGACATACAGCGACCCCAGCAGCGCTACCAGCGCCCAGAGCTCCCTCCGGACGAGGCAGCAGCGCGGTGGCGCCTGTTCGACCACGTGTGGGCCTCCTCAGTGCTCTTTGTTGCCCAATTGAATCAACGTCCCCCCTCTCGCCCACCTCTCCCCAACTCTCCCCTCCCTCTTCCCCCGCTCTTTCCCTGCTCGTCCCCCCCTCTCTCCCCCCATCTTCCCCTCCCCCCATCTTCCCCTCCCCCAGGAGCACATTCCCTGACATACAGCGACCCCAGCAGCGCTACCAGCGCCCAGAGCTCCCTCCGGACGAGGCAGCAGCGCGGTGGCGCCTGTTCGACCGCGTGTGGGCCTCCTTCTCAGTGCTCTCTGGCGCCCAAGACCCCGCCGCCTCAGCCTATTCCCAGTCCCAACTCGAGCAGCAGCAGCAGCAGGCCATGAGCTATTTCTCCCTCGCTGGAATCAGCCGGACTGGGCTGGCCCTGGTGGGGTCGGGTGGGGGGGGTGCGGACGGGGGGAGGGGTGCATCGGGGCCGGGGGATAAGGCGACGAGGCAGCGGAATGAGCACTGTTTGCATGTGGCGTTTCGGCTGGTGCTGTTTTATTTGTATGACGCGGAGCTAGAGGCTACCTCGCAGTGCATGCAGCAGTTTGCTCTCATCCTGCCCGCGCTGCTGCACTCGTGTGCGGATACCACCTCCCTCAGAAACCACCTGCACCTCTTCCTCTGGTGAGCTGCTCTGCTGCTGAATGTTGTTGGACGGGAAGACTAGGTGGTGATTGCCTTATGCTTTGTCCGAGTTCTCAGCTTCTTAGCCAGTCAATGCTCCCCTCTCCACCCCCACCCCTTCCCCTATCTCGCCCCTCTCCTTCCCTTGTGCTCACTGCCCTCTCACCTCTCCCTCCACTTGACGCGTACTTTCCAGATCCTCCTCTTTGTCAAGTGGAGGGAGAGGTTTAATTGCTTTCTTTTCTCCTTTCTCTTTTTTCACCCCCCTCCTCCCTGTACCCCTTCCAGGGCTCTGGTGCAGGCTCGGGAGAAGCTGGAGCAGCAGGCTCGGGACCGGCTAGCGGCGCGGGAGGCAGGGAGGGAGGCAGGCGCGAGGCAGCACATAGCATCCCAACTGATCCGCGAGGTGGTGGAGAGAGCGAAATCTGTGCTCGTGGCATCGATAGCCGAGAGGAGGCCGGGCGGTGGGGGCAGCGTGGGGGACTTCTCAGTGTACAGCCTGCTGCAGCAGGATCGAGTGCAGGAGGCGGTGAGTTGGGGGGATGAGGGGGGAGGGGGTGAGTGGGGGAGGGGGTGAGTGGGGAGGCAATGCAGGAGGTGGTGGGTGGAAAAGTTGGTGAATGGGGAGTGTTTTGCTTTCTGTTGGCTCACATTCTCTTCCTCCCCTTTCCCGATCCTCTCCCCTAATCCTTCCTGCCTGTCCTCTCCCCTAACCCTCCTCAGTTGAAGGAGGAGGAGGCGTTGGTGGAGGTGCTAGGAGAGCGGCGCATGCAGGCCCCTGAGGCCCTGCGGGGCGAGGTGGGGGAGAGGGAGGCGGTGGAGGAGTAGGAGGCACTGATTGAATCGATAGCAGAAGCGGGAAGTTTTGCTTCATGTTGACTCCCACCTCCTTCCTCCCTCCCTCTCTCCGGCCGCCTATCCCTCCCCTGTCCTCTTCCAAACCCCTCCCCCCTTGTCCAATCCCCTCAGTTGAAGGAGGAGGAGACGTTGGTGGAGGTGCTAGGAGAGCGGCGCATGCAGGCCCCTGAGGCACTGCGGGGCGAGGTGGGGGAGAGGGAGGCGGTGGAGCGAGAGCTGCTAGAGGCGATGGAGGAGCACAGGCGCGCTATACTCACAGAGCTCACCACGGAGGAGAGCAAGAGGCGGGCTACGGTCCGCGTGGGCTATGAGGAGGAGCAGCAGTTCCTCGCTGTGAGTGCTGCCTTGCTTGCTTGCTCATGTGCCTGCTCGCTCGCTCGCTCGCTCGCTTGCTGACTGTGCTGTTCGTGTGGGCTTAGGAGGAGGAGGAGCAGCAGCTCATGGCTCCATTCCATCCCCCCCATCTTAATACCCCCTCCTCCTTCCCCGCTCCTCCTTCTCCTCTCCCCCATATCCCCCCTACCCCCTTTCCGTCTCCCTGTTTCCCCTCCGTACCTCCCCTCTACCCCAGGGCCGGTGGAACCAGCTGTTCCGGGATCTCACGAACGAGCGGGGAGCGTGGTCGCCCGGGCGCCTACCCACAGACGCGCCCGCTCGCTGGAAGCTCGACAAGATGGAAGACCCCATCCGCCGCCGCTTCCGCCTTCGCCCCAACTACCGCTTCAACCCCGTCCTCTGCACCCCCGCCTCCTCCGCCTCCACCACCTCCTCCGCGCTCGCGTCTCCCTCCTCTGTCAAGTCGCCCAGCAGCGGCGGTGCGTCGCCCATGCTTCTGTCTCCTCTCGCCGGCGGAGGGTATCTCAACTCTCCGCTGACTGCGACTAAGACAGCGGCACAGCAGGCTGTGCTACTGCTGAAGGGGTTAAGAGGCGTGCAGGCGCAGTTAGAAGCCGCCGCAGAGGAAGCTCATGTGGAAAACGATGCAATGGAGGAAGCAGCGGTGAGAGAGCAGGAAGAGGCAGGATCGCCAAAGGTGAACAAATTCGAGGAGGGTTTGGGCGATGAGATGTCTACAGATGAGCCGGCAGATGATGTGGTGCTCATGTCTGTGCCCTGCGTGCTGGTGACTGCGAAACGGAAGCTGGCTGGGAGGCTAGAGATTATGCGAACCGTGGTGCATTTTCACACAGAGTTTGTGGTTGAAGGGAACGGGAGCGCGTCTGTGTTTGATCAGAATGGCCAGCTGAGACACGACACGGCCGCGACGGCAACCGCGGCTGCTTCTGCTGCGGTTGCGTCTGCTGCATCAGCAACTGGGACGTCTGGCCCCTCTTCTGCCTCCTCTGCTGCATCCGCCACCACCGCCCCTGCACCCGCAGTACCCGAAACCCCTCTTTCGATTTCCGTCACAGGGTTTGGACCAGGAGGAGGATCAGGAGCGACCAACTCGCCTGTAACCCCCACCGGGGGGATGATCACGGGAAGCAGCAGCACCACGAGCAGCAGCAGCGGGTCGGTCCCTGCGACTCCCAGCACGGCGTCTCGGTGGCGGCGGCTGCATACCAAGCTCGCGCTGCTCTCCCCTCGAAGCTCCTCCGGAAAGCTGCTAGAGCAGCTGGTGACAAGCAACCAGAAGAACGTGGATTTCCACAACGATGTGAAGCGGCACCGGCGGTGGCCACTAGCTGTTGTGAAGCGGATCCACATCACGAGGTATCTGCTGCGGTTCTCTGCGGTTGAGATCTTCTTTTCCTCGTCCTACGCGCCTGTGTTTCTCAACTTCTCCTCGGTGGTAAATGCTAAGGACGTGGCCACTCGCCTGGCGAATCTGACCCATGTGATTCAGCGGAACAGAGGCGGGGACAGGGATAGAAGCAGCTCAGGCGGAGGCGGGGCAGGGGGAGGAGGTGGGGGCGCGGGCGTGGGAGGGAGCATCTGGGACGGGGTTTTACTGGTGGATAAGAGGAGGGCGTTGGATCTTGCTGAGAGGGCGAAGGCTGCGTGGAGGAGGAGGGATATGTGCAACTTTGAGTATCTTATGGTGCTGAACACGCTCGCAGGGCGATCGTACAATGACCTGATGCAATACCCCGTGTTCCCGTGGGTGATTGCGGATTATACCTCGGAGGATCTGGATCTGAACAACCCTGATACGTTCAGGGATCTGTCGAAGCCCATTGGTGCTCTCGATGAGAAGAGGTTCCAGGTGAGGGGAGTGGAGGGGAGGTTACTGTCTCACACTGCCCACACACACTGGTTAGGGGTCCCCAGGATTGCTTGGAGTTGTGTTGGAAAAGACTCAAACATTACTTCGTGAAGCCTCTGGTTTCATCAAACCACAGAACGGTTTCCTTGTTTCATTCTGCCCATGCCCTGACCTCCGTGTATTGCCACTCCATCCCACCCCAACCCGCTGCACTCCACCGCACCCAACCCCTCAGATGTTTGAGGACCGGTACCACGGGTTTGCGGATCCCGACATCCCGAGCTTCTTCTACGGGTCGCACTACTCCACGGCCGGCATCGTGCTCTTCTTCCTGCTGCGCATGGAGCCCTTCGCCACACTCAACGTGTCCCTGCAGGTGCGTGTGTGTGTGTGCGCGTGCCTCTTTGCATGCCTCTGTGCCTGCCTCTGTGCGTGTGGGTGCACTGCTGTTGGCTTCGGTATGTGTTTGTGTGTCTGTCTGTGTGTCCTTTTGTCTCTTTGGCTCACTTCACATCTCACTTCTCTCCAATCCTCCCTTCCACTCACCCCTCTCTCCCCCTCAGCTGTTTCTAACCCACCTCCTCCTACTACCCTACTCCTCCTTTCCCCTGCCCTCCCTCCCCTCCCTCCCCAGGGCGGCAAGTTTGACCATGCGGATCGGCTCTTCCATTCAGTGGCATCAGCATGGGCCAACTGTCTCTCCAACACCAGCGATGTCAAGGAGCTGATTCCCGAGTTCTACTACCACCTGCTGCCCCCCTTCCACACCACCTCCCTTCTCTCCCCTCCTCTTTTTCACTCCCTCCCCCACCTACTTCTAACCCATCTAACCCGCCCCCCTCCCCACTACCCTGCTCGGGTATTCCCCTCCCATCCCTTCCCTCTCCCGCCTCTCTTTCCCCTAAACCCTGAATACCAGGGCGGCAAGTTTGACCATGCGGATCGGCTCTTCCATTCAGTGGCATCAGCATGGGCCAACTGTCTCTCCAACACCAGCGACGTCAAGGAGCTCATCCCCGAGTTCTACTACCACCCCGAGTTCCTGGTCAACAAGAACGGCTACTTCCTGGGCGTGCGGCAGGACGGCCACGCGCTTGGAGATGTGGTGCTGCCGCCCTGGGCTAAGGTGAGAGGGGGGTGTGGGAAAGAGGGGGGGGGGGGGGGTGGGTGGAAGGGGGAGGATGGGAGAGGGGGGAGGTGAAGGGGGGCGAGGTGAGGCAAGAGGGGCGAGTGAGGTGAGGAGGGGCACGGTGAGGTAAGAGATGGGCATGGTGAGGGGATGAGCTGATTCCCGAGTTCTACTACCAACCCAAGTTCCTGGTCAACAAGAACGGATACTTTCTGGGCGTGCGGCAGGACGGGCATGCTCTGGGGGATGTGGTGCTGCCGCCCTGGGCTAAGGTGAGAGAAGGGGGGGGGGAAGAGAGGATCGTATTATGTGTATGTGAGCGGCCGCTTCCTCCACGTACCTCAAGCTTTCCCCATCCACCCCTCTTTCCGCGCCTCCTCTCCCCCACCAGAACTCTCCCGAGACGTTTGTGCGCAAGTGCAGGGAGGCCCTGGAGTGCGAGTATGTGAGCAGCTGCCGCTCCTTTTTTCTTCCCCTCAGCCCCGCCCCACTCACCCCTCTCCCTCCCGCCTCCTTCCTCTGCCTCTCCCTCCCCACCTCCTTTCCCGCCCCTCTTCCCGCCCACCCTCCCCCCCCCCCCCCTCCCTCTCCCCCACCAGGGCTCCCCCGAGACGTTTGTGCGCAAGTGCAGGGAGGCCCTGGAGTGCGAGTATGTTAGCAGCCGCCGCCTTTTGTTTGTTCCCCTCAACCCCATCCCACTCACCCCTCTCCCTCCCCGCCTCCTTCCCCGCCCCTATCCCCTCTTCCTCAGGGCTCCCCCGAGACGTTTGTGCGCAAGTGCAGGGAGGCCCTGGAGTGCGAGTATGTTAGCAGCCGGCTGCACGAGTGGGTCGACCTCATCTTCGGCTTCCGCCAGCGCGGCCAGGAAGCCATTGACGTGAGTTGTGTGCTGGGGAGTTTGGAATGGGGGTGGGGACGGGGACGGGTGGCTCTTGGTTCAGTAAAGTTCTGCACGAGTGGATTGCAATCATCTTTGGGTTTCGGCAGCGCGGCCAGGAAGCCATTGACGTGAGTTGTGTGCTGGGGGATTTGGGAATGGGGATGTGGGGCTGGAGGCGGCGGGGTTGGGGGCGGCTGTGGGTGGCTGTTGGGTCGGTTAAGACCTGCACGAGTGGGTCTGTTAGAAATGTGTGTATAGCATGCTAAGTATAAAAGGGGTTGGGGCTACACCCAACTTTGGGTGTAGCTTGCTTTGTAGGCCTACACCCAACTTTGGGGTGTAGACTTGCAAGTTGGGGTGCCAATCCAACCCACAAGTGTTGGAGCCCCCAAGTGCAAGTTGGGCACCCCCCCTCTTGCAACCCACAAGTTGGGTACCCCCTCTCTTGCAACCCACAAGTTGGGTACCCCCCCTCTTGCAACCCACAAGTTGGGTACCCCCCCTCTTGCAACCCACAAGTTGGGTACCCCCTCTCTTGCAACCCACAAGTTGGGTACCCCCTCTCTTGCAACCCACAAGTTGGGTACCCCCTCTCTTGCAACCCACAAGTTGGGTACCCCCTCTCTTGCAACCCACAAGTTGGGTACCCCCTCTCTTGCAACCCACAAGTTGGGTACCCCCTCTCTTGCAACCCACAAGTTGGGTACCCCCCCTCTTGCAACCCACAAGTTGGGTACCCCCCCTCTTGCAACCCACAAGTTGGGTACCCCCCCCTCTTGCAACCCACAAGTTGGGTACCCCCTCTCTTGCAACCCACAAGTTGGGTACCCCCTCCCTTGCAACCCACAAGTTGGGTACCCCCTCTCTTGCAACCCACAAGTTGGGTACCCCCTCTCTTGCAACCCACAAGTTGGGTACCCCCCCTCTTGCAACCCACAAGTTGGGTACCCCCCCTCTTGCAACCCACAAGTTGGGTACCCCCCCTCTTGCAACCCACAAGTTGGGTACACCCCCTCTTGCAACCCACAAGTTGGGTACCCCCCCTCTTGCAACCCACAAGTTGGGTACCCCCCCTCTTGCAACCCACAAGTTGGGTACCCCCCCTCTTGCAACCCACAAGTTGGGTACCCCCCCTCTTGCAACCCACAAGTTGGGTACCCCCCCTCTTGCAACCCACAAGTTGGGTACCCCCCCTCTTGCAACCCACAAGTTGGGTACCCCCCCTCTTGCAACCCACAAGTTGGGTACCCCCCCTCTTGCAACCCACAAGTTGGGTACCCCCCCTCTTGCAACCCACAAGTTGGGTACCCCCTCTCTTGCAACCCACAAGTTGGGTACCCCCTCTCTTGCAACCCACAAGTTGGGTACCCCCTCTCTTACAACCCACAAGTTGGGTACCCCCTCTCTTACAACCCACAAGTTGGGTACCCCCTCTCTTACAACCCACAAGTTGGGTACCCCCTCTCTTACAACCCACAAGTTGGGTACCCCCTCTCTTACAACCCACAAGTTGGGTACCCCCTCTCTTACAACCCACAAGTTGGGTACCCCCCCTCTTGCAACCCACAAGTTGGGTACCCCCCCTCTTGCAACCCACAAGTTGGGTACCCCCCCTCTTGCAACCCACAAGTTGGGTACCCCCCCTCTTGCAACCCACAAGTTGGGTACCCCCCCTCTTGCAACCCACAAGTTGGGTACCCCCCCTCTTGCAACCCACAAGTTGGGTACCCCCCCTCTTGCAACCCACAAGTTGGGTACCCCCCCTCTTGCAACCCACAAGTTGGGTACCCCCCCTCTTGCAACCCACAAGTTGGGTACCCCCCCTCTTGCAACCCACAAGTTGGGTACCCCCCCTCTTGCAACCCACAAGTTGGGTACCCCCCCTCTTGCAACCCACAAGTTGGGTACCCCCCCTCTTGCAACCCACAAGTTGGGTACCCCCTCTCTTGCAACCCACAAGTTGGGTACCCCCTCTCTTGCAACCCACAAGTTGGGTACCCCCTCTCTTACAACCCACAAGTTGGGTACCCCCTCTCTTACAACCCACAAGTTGGGTACCCCCTCTCTTACAACCCACAAGTTGGGTACCCCCTCTCTTACAACCCACAAGTTGGGTACCCCCTCTCTTACAACCCACAAGTTGGGTACCCCCTCTCTTACAACCCACAAGTTGGGTACCCCCCCTCTTGCAACCCACAAGTTGGGTACCCCCTCTCTTGCAACCCACAAGTTGGGTACCCCCTCTCTTACAACCCACAAGTTGGGTACCCCCTCTCTTACAACCCACAAGTTGGGTACCCCCTCTCTTGCAACCCACAAGTTGGGTACCCCCTCCCTTGCAACCCACAAGTTGGGTACCCCCTCTCTTGCAACCCACAAGTTGGGTACCCCCTCTCTTGCAACCCACAAGTTGGGTACCCCCCCTCTTGCAACCCACAAGTTGGGTACCCCCCCTCTTGCAACCCACAAGTTGGGTACCCCCCCTCTTGCAACCCACAAGTTGGGTACCCCCCCTCTTGCAACCCACAAGTGTTGGAGCCCCCAAGTGCAAGTTGGGCACCCCCCCTCTTGCAACCCACAAGTTGGGTACCCCCTCTCTTGCAACCCACAAGTTGGGTACCCCCCCTCTTGCAACCCACAAGTTGGGTACCCCCCCTCTTGCAACCCACAAGTTGGGTACCCCCTCTCTTGCAACCCACAAGTTGGGTACCCCCTCTCTTGCAACCCACAAGTTGGGTACCCCCTCTCTTGCAACCCACAAGTTGGGTACCCCCTCTCTTGCAACCCACAAGTTGGGTACCCCCTCTCTTGCAACCCACAAGTTGGGTACCCCCCCTCTTGCAACCCACAAGTTGGGTACCCCCCCTCTTGCAACCCACAAGTTGGGTACCCCCCCCTCTTGCAACCCACAAGTTGGGTACCCCCTCTCTTGCAACCCACAAGTTGGGTACCCCCTCCCTTGCAACCCACAAGTTGGGTACCCCCTCTCTTGCAACCCACAAGTTGGGTACCCCCTCTCTTGCAACCCACAAGTTGGGTACCCCCCCTCTTGCAACCCACAAGTTGGGTACCCCCCCTCTTGCAACCCACAAGTTGGGTACCCCCCCTCTTGCAACCCACAAGTTGGGTACCCCCCCTCTTGCAACCCACAAGTTGGGTACCCCCTCTCTTGCAACCCACAAGTTGGCTACCCCCTCTCTTGCAACCCACAAGTTGGGTACCCCCTCTCTTACAACCCACAAGTTGGGTACCCCCTCTCTTACAACCCACAAGTTGGGTACCCCCTCTCTTACAACCCACAAGTTGGGTACCCCCTCTCTTACAACCCACAAGTTGGGTACCCCCTCTCTTACAACCCACAAGTTGGGTACCCCCTCTCTTACAACCCACAAGTTGGGTACCCCCCCTCTTGCAACCCACAAGTTGGGTACCCCCCCTCTTGCAACCCACAAGTTGGGTACCCCCCCTCTTGCAACCCACAAGTTGGGTACCCCCCCTCTTGCAACCCACAAGTTGGGTACCCCCCCTCTTGCAACCCACAAGCTGGGTACCCCCCCTCTTGCAACCCACAAGTTGGGTACCCCCCCTCTTGCAACCCACAAGTTGGGTACCCCCCCTCTTGCAACCCACAAGTTGGGTACCCCCCCTCTTGCAACCCACAAGTTGGGTGCCCCCCCTCCTTGCAAGTTGCCATAGGGACTACCCAACCACCCACCTTTCCCCCTTCCCTTCCAAGCTCCTCTTGCATCCTATGTATGCTCCCCTTTCCTCTAATGAAGTCAATCATTCACTTCACAATCTTCACAGGGTCGACCTCATCTTCGGATCTTCGCCTTCCGCCAGCGCGGCCAGGATGACATTGACATGAGTCGGCTTATGGGGAGCTGGGGGTATCAGTGGGGATGGGCATGGGTATGGGCATGGGCATGGGCATGTTTACTCTGACCTACAATGTCTCTTTCGATCTCCCTGTGCCTCAGTCACCAGCTTCTGAAAGTGTGGGGGGCACTGTCTGTGTGAAGTACCATATTGCCATCTTTAAGTTTTTGCACCTCTTATTCTCTCCTCTCCTTCGCCCCTCCCCCCCTCTTTTCCGCCTCTCAGGCTGGCAACGTGTTCTACTACCTCACATACGAGGGCTCTGTGGATCTAGACGCCATCACCAACCCCTTTGAGCGGGCCTCAGTAGAGGATCAGATCGCCAACTTCGGCCAGACGCCCCTGCAGCTCTTCCGCAAGCCGCACCCGCGCCGAGGCCCCCCTGTCCCCGTCCTCCGCCCGCTGCTCTTCTCCCCGTCCTCGCTCGAACTCACCTCGCAACTCCCGCCTCCCGTCCTCACCTCCTCCTCCTCCGCCTCCTCCTCTGCCTCTGGTTCTGCCTCCACTGGTGGCTCGTCTGCCCTGACGTCTATCCCCAGTGGAGGAGGAGGGGGAGGGGGCGGGGGGTTGGGTGTGTCGCTGTCTTCTTCGGGATCAGGACAGCCCGGGGAGGGCGATGTGTCGGTGGTGTTTGTGGGGTTGGTGGATGGCAAGGCGGTGACGCTGACTTCTGGTCAGCTGCTGTCTCTGCGCTACTGGATATCGCCGTACACCCAGTCGGGGGCCTCGTTCACGTTCTCGGGATCAGTGGTGTGTCTACCTGCCTGGCTTGTGTGTCTGTTTGACTGCGTGTTTGCTGTGTGTGTCTGTCGATGTGTCTGCTGATGTGTCTGCTGATGTGTCTGCTGATGTGTCTCCTGATGTGTCTGCTGGTGTCTCTGCTGGTGTCTCTGCTGGTGTGTTTGCTGGTGTGTTTGCTGGTGTGTTTGCTGGTGTGTTTGCTGGTGTGTTTGCTGGTGTGTTTGCTGGTGTGTTTGCTGGTGTGTTTGCTGCTGTGTTTGCTGCTGTGTTTGCTGCTGTGTTTGCTGGTGTGTTTGCTGCTGTGTTTGCTGCTGTGTTTGCTGGTGTGTTAGCTGGTGTGTTAGCTGGTGTGTTTGCTGCTGTGTTTGCTGCTGTGTTTGCTGCTGTGTTTGCTGCTGTGTTTGCTGCTGTGTTTGCTGCTGTGTTTGCTGCTGTGTTTGCTGCTGTGTTTGCTGGTGTGTTTGTTTCCTGGTGTGTTTGCTGGTGTGTTTGCTGGTGTGTTTGCTGGTGTGTGTGCTACCATGTCTTCCCCTAATCCCTCCCCACTTTCCTCCCTATATTTACTTGGTTTAAATCCTCAATAAGCCACATCTCACCTGAAAGCGTTTTCCCCATACTCTGTTCTTTCTCCCATCCTTCACCCCTCTTCCCGCTCCCCCTCCCACTCCCCCATGCTTCTCTCTCTCCCCCCCTCTTCCTTCCACCAACCAGGAGCCCTACATCGGTTTTGGAGACTCCATCTTCCTGCGCCGCATAGGAGCCCCAGTCACCAGCAGCGTGGAGGCCACTCCCAACTGCTACAAGCTTTCTCAAAACCTTACTCCCCCCGTTCCTCTCCCAACCAGGAGCCCTACATCGGCTTCGGGGACTCCATCTTCCTGCGTCGCATAGGAGCGCCCATCGCCAGCAGCGTGGAGGCCACTCCCAACTGCTTCGACATCCTACAGCCGCCCTCGGCAGCCTCTGCCTCCGCACCCTCGTACCTGCTCACGTGCGGGCACTGGGACAATAGCTTCCGCTGCGTGTCGCTGTCGGATGGGAAGGTTGTGCGCACCATTCGCGCTCACAATGACGTCGTTACCTGCCTCGCGGGTGCGTGTTGTGGTGGGTTGGTGGATGCGGGGATGGTGGGATGAGGGATGGGCGATGGGGGGATGGTGGGGCGGTGGGATGGTGGGTAGTGAAATGCAACTCATCTCAATGGCACACACTGTCCATCCACTCCCTTCTCAATCTGTCCTCCAATGCACACACGTCCCTTCCCATCGCCTTTTCCGACTCCCTGTCGCACCAACACAGTGAGCAGAAAACACTTTGTTTCTCCTCATCTCTCTCCCAATGTGCTCCCCACTCCCAATGTGCTCCCCACTCCCTTCTCCCTACCCCCTGCTGCTCATTCCCGACTCCTCCCCTGCTCCCCACTCCCCACTCCCCGCTGCCTTCCATTACAGTATCAGCGCAGGGCACATCAATCGTGACAGGCAGCGCGGACACCACAGTCATGGTCTGGGAAGTCGAGCGAACCGCCCGCAGCCGCCCGGAGCACGTCGTGTACGACAAGCCTCGTCTCGTTCTGTGCGGGCACGACGACGCCGTGACGTGCGTTGCCGTCCGCTCAGAGCTCGATCTCGTGGTCAGCGGATCCACAGATGGAACCATCATCCTCTACACTCTCCACCGCGGTCGCTTCTTGCGCTCACTTGCTCTCCCCTCCACCTCCTCTTCCTCCTCGTCCCTTCGCGGCAACACCTCCGGCAGTACTACACCAAAGAAAACCTTCACTAAGAGCGCCAGCGGCCGTCTCCTCAGCATATCGCCCGTCGGCTCTCCCCGTTCCATTTCCGCAGCAAGCGGGAAAAGCGGCAGCAGCACGAAAACGGAAAGAGGCAGCCCGGTGCACAGCCTAGTCGTCTCCACCTCTGGGATCATCGTGGCTTACTCCGAAACCGATCTTCTGCTGCACTCTGCGTCTATCAACGGAGAATGGCTAGCTTCTGCGGATGTGAGCGAGCGAATCGGAGCCATGGCTACTACTGTTTGTGGCGAGTTCCTGGTCACGGGTGGGAGCTCGTTCGGCGGCGTGGTTGTGCGGTCGATTTTCACTCTGGAAGAAATTGTTCGGTTTGACGGGCAGGGTGTGCCAGTGACATCGCTGTATGTGGCGCCGGAAGAGTGTATTTTAGTGGGTCTGCAGGACGGAAGGATTCTCACATACTCTGTGGATCCTCAGAACCTCAAGAAGGGCTTGGCTCACTATGCTCTTTGAGCAGTCTTCCGTTAGAGTGCATCAGCATCCTCCTCCTCCCCTACCTTGTACCCCGTTCTCTCCAATTGCGTCTCATCTCATTTCACACAAGCATTCTGCACTAGGTGTCTTGATTATACTTAATAAAAATATGCTGGGGATTACAGGTTCAGCCACTCAAACCACCCTAGCAGACCGCGTTGGCCGCCTTACCTAGGCTTCTCGTTCAGCCTGCGGAAACCTCTGTTGGATAATGTACTGCTCCTAGATCTGTGAAGATAAATAGCAGAACTCCCTAGGGAACCACATCTGAGGCACTTGTGTTGGGCATTCTCTCATGCTTGTTGAGACCTAATACTAGTGGATCATTATGAGGTCGGTGAATGTTTTCCCTACCCAAGGAAAAACGCCTCTCCATAACAGCAAAACGCCAGTAGAAGTGTCTCGCATTTCTAACGGGGATAGACTGTTAATACAAAAGTTCTTGTATTTCTCGTGGTCAAGTGGTTACCAGTATGGACGACAACAGCAACAGCGACAAAAAAAAACGCGCGGGCAATCAGATCATAAACGGCTGGATTTCAGCGGGGCGTGAAGGCGGCTCGACTGAGCAAGCGCGCGAATTTTGAACATACAGAACAAGCAGCTCAGCGAAACTCGCAAATTTCAGAAAAGATGGTCTTTCAATACGGCGCGCGACAGCCCAGTCTGAATCCCTGTGGGATGCGACACAACGATTCTGTGTGCGATTTTCGCCTCGCGACACCGATTTCCCACGCTCTTTCAGAATGCCGAAACGCCTAGCAGCACCGCAGTCACTCGCACAACTCAGACCACGAATTTTTGTTTCCGGAGGGAGTAGAAATATCGCCGGTTCTCATTCTTGTAAGCACACAGCTAGCCGCCTCTCTTCTACGCCTCCTTGTCTGAACATTCTTCAGCCTTCAAATTTAGTACTCTCGCTAGATTCAGCGTGTTTTGCCTCGCCCTCCAAGCGCAAGTTCGCCGTAGCTTTTACCTTAAAAAATGGCTCGATTCCTTTCCATGGCTGTTCTCGTTCTGGCTCTGTCATGCGCCTGCTTCACCACTGAGGCCAAGGTCTATCGCGACGGCACACTCCAGTGGACTCTCATCACCCAAGCTCTTCAAAAGTCTGGAAAATACAGCACTTACCTTGCCATCGTGAAAAAAGCAGGTAAGATTCCCCACCTCATGTTGTGTATATCTTGTGAATGCGGAATCCTGGCTTCTGGGTTTCTAAAGAGCTGACAAAGCATCCTAATTTCTTTTCTCTGAGCTGCTTGCAGGTATGCAAAAGTGGATCACTGACTACCTCTCGTCGTCTACCACCGGTTTCACCTGCCTCGTTCCGCCCAACGCCGCTTTCAGGACCGCCAAGGCAGCCACCCTGGTACGTGCGTGCCCGGATCGTCCAACTGTCGCCCTTCGCTTAGCTCAAGTTCTCTTAGTTTGACTTCGCTATGCAGACAACATGCCAGGAGAGATGCCTTTCTGTGCCCTCACCGAGTGTTCGTATTCCGCCCTTGTTCTTTTCCCCGCGCAGAAACCATACGCCAAGACCCCAGCCACCCTCCAGGATCTGCTCAAGTTCGGCATGCTCAACTTCCAGGCCACTCCCCAGCGCTTGGCAAAGGACGCGGTCGGCCAGGGCTACGTCACCTTCAGCGGCACCGGCAGGCAGATCCAGAAGTACAAGGCCGCCAAGCCCGGCGCTGTGACCGTGGGCCCTCAGTTCGCTCAGCAGGGTTACGAGCTGGCGAATATTACCAAGATCTTGTACAGGGACCCCACGGCCATCTGCTACGAGATCGACAACGCCCTTATTCCGATCAAGTAGATTGTTGGAAGTTACTTGCTTCTCGCGCTTCGTCTTGGAGAAGCTGCTTCTCGCCGACAGATCCAGCAGCTTCCACATTGGAATGGACTCGGCATAGATACTAGGTCAACCGTAGATAGTTTTGTCATGTAGCGAAAACGGAAGCGGGACTGTTGTTGCTGTCTTCTAGTTAACGTGGCTTTCTTGTTTACCTTAACAACTTAATGGGAAGCCGCAGCCTGGGGACACGTCATCTTCAGATACTTGCATACACAATTGAAGCTTTGCCGCATGGTAGACAAAGGTGGCCCCATATGTAGGCATTTGTAATCACGAGGGGATATTAAGCTGGCCACTCAATTTCGCTTCGACCCTGAGAGGACCCCTTCTATTCACTCCTGGGCTGCTTGGAGATCCCTTTCGCCCCCTCTAGAACCTTCCTTTTTTCAGCCTAGCTGGTGGTTATCACTTGGACAAGGAAAAATGTGTTTTTCACGTACGCATGTTGGTTTGTGTAGACCATATTTCTAGCTGACAGGAAAATTCCTTTTCCTTACTTAGCGTCCCTGCTCAGCGCGTACACCACTGTTTCCCGCCAACAGCACCCCACAATAATCCGTTACCACCCGCGACATTCGTCTTGACACTATTCCCGCCACTGTTCATGACGCGACCCAACCTCACGGTTTGGTTGGTAACCCGCGCTCCGGACCTCCGCCTCGACAATCCCCAACCTCGGTGCTAGGCCCGTCGCGCACCCCATTTTCCACACGTTACCGTTACCACTGTAGCTTCGCTATATATTCTTCGCTCCATCCTTCGCTCATTGTACCGTATGGCCCCGGATATAGGCGCCGTCCGATTAAGGGCGCCGGCGCTTCTATCTGGAGCATGGCGCTTATGGCCGGAACTCGATTATAAGCGCCCCCCCCTCTAGTGGGTGTACTTATTATAAGCGCACCTTTTCACGTTGTGGAGAGAACTCATTACAAAAAAAACATCTCTAATTAACACTAAACATGAGCATGCTAACTTTACACCTACAACATCATCACTGTCATTTTTATCTAGCTACATATTGCAAAGTTTAGCATCTCTACCTAGAAAATCTACTCCTCCTCGTCGGATTCTGGCTCCTGGCAGTTGTTGCCGAAGAAGCCATCGGCGATGATGGAGTCATCGACATCCACCTCCGCGGTCAGCTGGCTCCGCCTGTGCGCCATGGCGAGGCCGTCCTCACTGCCGTCAAGCGCGTTGCTGATGCCACAGGTGAGGAAGGCGCGCTTGATGAGGTCGGCGGGCACTGCTTTCCAAGCTCGTGAGATCCACCTCACGACCACCTCTGGGGGTGGCTTCTTCAAGTTCCCTGTACCAACAGAATCACACAATATATACCGGTAGTTAGCGCAACAAAAGGGGGGAAAATCTTCTACGGTAAGATAGGGACTCGCGTGGCTACCGTACCTGCTCTGGTTAGCTGTTCTTGGCCTTCTTCCTGAAACCACTTCTGATACTGCTGGCGAACGCTCGCCTTAAAGCTCTTGTTGATGGAGACGTCGAGGGGCTGTACCTCCGCCGTGCAGCCAGACGGGATGATCGCCGGCACGCAGTTGAGCTCGCGAAACTTCTCCTTAACGACCTCAGTGAGGTGTCCGCGGTACGAGTCAAGTACGACCATCGAGCTCCGCGCATGCCTCCCGAACCCAGGCTTTAGAAATGGCTTAACGCACTCCTCAAGCCATTGTATGACGCCGTTGGCGTCCATCCAGCCGTTCTCGTGACACGACACGACCACATCTGCATAACAAACAAGCTTCTGTAAGTCTCTTTAAAAACAGGACTGGTGTAAAGCAAACAAACAAGAATCATGACTCACCCGGCGGGAACACCCCTTTCGGCACGGCCTTCCGCTTGAAAAAAACCCACGGTCTCAGCTTTATCCCGTCCGTCGTGCACGCCAACATCACGGTCACGCGCTCCTTCTGGTACCTTGCGCTCCTGATGGGCACCGACCGAACACCGGTTTGATCGACGGTAGTGGTGGCGGGCATCTCCAGCCACAGCGGCGTCTGGTCGGCGTTGATAATCCACGTCGTCTCGATGCCGCGCTCACGACGCTTGTCACGGACGAATTGCCAGAAGTTATTGCATTGCTCCGCAACATCTGCGGTTGAGCACAGTTACGGTTAGTGAGTAACAAGTGCATACACATGGCATAGAGAATAAAAATGATTCTTACGGGCGGCGGTTTTCTGGGCGACCTTCGTCTTCATTCGCACGCTGAGATTCCACCGCCGACGGAACCGGTCCGACCACCGTTGGCTCCCTTTCCACTTCACGAGGGGGTAGAGAATCTTCATGAACTCCCGGGACCACTCCTGCAGGCGGCCGACGGACACCGCGGTTCCCTTGCGTCGCCAGTCGAGCAGTCGCTCATACACCTTAATCTCCATCGGGCGGTACCACGACGCCCTGCCGCGACCGTGCATGCGGCACCTGGCAGAGTGGGCTTCCTTGAGGAAATCAGCGGCACGCTTCCAGTTGGCGAGGCACTTGCGGTGGATGCCACTCTCGCGAGCCAGAGCGCGCACCGACACTGCCACATCCAGTTGCGCGACCCACTTTAACTTCTCGGCGGCAGTATAGGCCTGACGCTTGTGGTCGTTGGGCTTGTGCCTGGGAGAGGGGGGGCGAGAATCACGAGTCTGTGAAGAAGGGTGAGGTCGCTTTCGATTACGTGGAGGATAAGTTGGTATCGGGAGTTTCTCGGGGAGGCCATCGCGTGACCAGTATTCGACGCCGTCGTCGTCGTCACCGCCCGGCGCACCCTCGGGAAACACATCCTCAGCAGTGCCGGCCTCAGCAGCGGCCTCGGTGTCGGCCTTAGTGCCACCCTCGGCGTCGGCGTCGCCCTCAGCGCGCCAACCTTCCTCGGCGTCTTGCACGTCGTCGTTAGCGCCGACTGCAGATTCATCCCACGTGAAATCTTCTGGCTGGCCCCAACGTGGTGCTGGCGCTGGAGCGGGTACGTCAACATCGGGGCCCTTGTCATAATCCGGTCCTGACAGATACTCGTCGAACGCCGATGGGAGCAGGAGCGTGAGCACGCAGTGGTTGTCGATGTGAGGGGCCACCGGACACGGAGGAACAGGAGGAACAGGAGGAGCAGGGGGGGTCGGAGGCACTGGAGGAGCCGGAGGAGCAGGCGGCGCAGGAGGCTGTGGTGGCTCTGGAGGGTCTGGAGGTATGCGGCTATACCACCCGTCAGCTGTAACACGGTACGCGAGCCTACTAGAAGGTTTTTTCTTGAAGAGAAAATGAGTGCCTGTGAATTCCGCCATGGCTTCCGCAGCCAGGCGGGCGAGAAAAAGAAGACTGAATCAAAAACGGCAACCCTGGGTGTTGAAATGGGAGATTGAAGGGGACCCCTTTTGGTTTGCGGCTCGGGGTCCTCGTCGATGAGAGACGAGTACACCCCTGCCCCAACCCGCAGAGGAGGGTTGGGGGCACCATCCATGCTGCGCTGGCACGGAAGATTCCATCACGTTCTGGATGGTTCTGCCGAGATGCTCCTGCCTGGCAGCGCATGCCAACCTGATTGGGCCGCACGGCAGGTTTTGCATCAGCGCTGGCAGGTGCGTTGCACCAGGACGGGTTTTGTGCGGTGGGAAATCGAACCGCGGCAAGTTTCGACGCCATTCCATGCACGATCCCGCGTGCATGGTACAGTGTTGTATTCGCCTTATTCACGGCTTCATAATGATATTCTTTACAGAGAAATTCATTTTTGCCTTTATAAAAGCGCCGGCGCTTATGGCCGTTACTCAATTACAAGCGCCCCCCCTAAAAAATAATAATTTTATGAGCGCATATGCGCTACTATCCGGGGTATTACGGTATTCTTGTCTCGATAGTGCAATCCTCGCTTGCTCACTCAATTGCACTCGTAACACTTGGTATTCAGAGCCTACGATCTTCTCTCGGACCGCACCCACACCTTCGCTTCCCCACTATCTCAAATTTTGGGGGGGGTAGACGTCTCTCAGCGACCAAGCACCGCCGCTCGTAGTGCTCTCTCTTAAGCACGCACGGCCACGACAGAGGCTCTCGCTGAGCTTGCCCGACACCCCCGCCATGGCTGAAATTACTCTCGCGACACTGACGCAAGCACAGCTCGACAATCTCGTGCGTCAACTCGAAGATTCGGCCCTCGAAATTGCTACACTCACGGCGGAACGCGAAACATGGGAGACAGCCCAGTATAGCATGGTGCGCGGGGCTTTCGGCGCGCTTCGAGCCGATCGAGGCTTCTATTTCGGCGCGCCAGAGACTGCGTACTTGGCGGCAGCTCATATCGGTTCAAGACTACACGAGGGTTTTCTGGCATTATGCGAGCAAGTCGGCTACATGCATGAAGCGGAGTGGGTGGACCGTTACGTCGGAGGGCTGGAGCCGGACATCTCGCACGAACTTATGCTACGCGGGCTCTCGAATTTTAACGAGATCCTCGCGCTCGCCGAGAAAATCGACATTCTGCGCCGTCCGAGACCGGGGTCCTACTACGGACATCGTCCTCGGGGACCAATCGAGCACGCCACCGTACATGCCGTTGCGGCGAATGCAGTTGCCGCACCGTTTAAGGGGTGCTGCTTTACTTGCAATCGGCCGGGCCATCGCAAGAGCGAATGCCCAGAGGAGCTGAGGTGCCGCGAAGCAGAGCAGGGGCGGGAGTCTCAGAGGCAGGGAAACGCCAGCAGTCAGTATAAGTTGGGCCAACTACTAAACGAGACTACCTGCTCGCCCAACTTCACCGACCCTCACCGAGTCACAGTACCGATTCACGCTATCGATCGGGCTCGGATGAATAAGAAGGGTACAACGACGGATTGCCCAGTACTCATCCACGGAAAAATACAGGGAGCAGCGGTGAATATTTTTATAAATGGAGGCGCAAGTCACATCTTAGTTAATATCGCGGCTGCAAGAAATCTGCAACTGGCACTTAGCCGGTGTTTATCGTA